TTCCTTTTTTTTTTTTTTTTTTACAGATTTTATTCATATTTTGACAGAGGGAGAGAGACAACGAGAGAGGGAACACAAGCAGGGGGAGGGGGAGAGGGAGAAGCAGGCTTCCCTCAGAGCAGGGAGCCCAACGCGGGGGTCGATTCCAGGACCCCCGGATCATGACCTGAGCTGAAGGCAGACACTTAACAACTGAGCCACCCATGTGCTCCAGGCTCATCTTAATTCCTAATGACTTGTATTTTCCTATAGATTTCCTCAAAGCAATGTGGTAAGCATCATAAAACCAAGAAATGTCAGAAATATGGAGGGATTGATGATACGTGTCTCCAGGTTCTGAATCGAAAGTCTACCTTCTAAGGTGGACTGCTGCCAGGTAGCTGTGATTAGCTAGGCTCAAATCATACTACCTCTGGTGTCAGGAGCACTTCTGCTACTCCTATTAATGGGTTTTTCTTGGATTACATCCATCATCTTATAGAGTGTTTACCACAATTCTAAGATTTAGACATTATTTTTACCTACATTTTAGAGATGAATAAACTGATGCTGAGCTGGAATAACTGGCCAAATATAATATAGCTGGGAAATGGGGGCATAGGAATTTACACTCTGGAGAGGTTGTTTGACATCAAGTCAAGTCCTTTTTTCTCAATGATGCCCAGTTCTTTTCAACCCGATTCAAAGGGCACTGGATTCCTGTGGTGCCTCAAGAGCCCCTGAGCCAAAAGAGGAGGGAGGGGAAGAAAGGCCCTTGCTCTGGATTCAACCAGAGCACATCTAATATACATAAATATATATGTTATGATTATATATTTATATAGAATAAGTATCTAATTATATATTATATATATATAACTACATATATATGTATGATGTTATATATATATGTGTATATATAGAGAGAGAGAGAGAGAACCCATTTAGAATTTTGTTAGAAAAAATTCCCAAACACTGTAGCATACCATGAAGTGTCCTAATGCCCTTATGATCTACACTAGAAACTTCTTTAAGTCAGACATCTCATCTTGTCCTTTCTTTGGTCTCACAACAGTGTGGAACCTCCCCCGACCAGTGAGCCAGCCTTCGGAAGAAGGAGCCCATGGAAATCCTTGCCCTGGCGATGCTCTGGGCTCCAGAACAGCTCTGTCTAAGCATCTCCCATGACCCCTGGCAACCTTGCTGTCTGCTTCTCACTAAAGCCAATTAAAATACTCCCGGTACCTGCAGCCTTCTCGCTGTTACCACGACTCATTGAGTTCTCGCCCAAGAGGGAAGTGATGTCTTCTCCAAATATCCTGAGGCAATTTTCAATGAGAAATTGTACAAGACAAATCTGTAACACAAAAAGACAAGAATGGGGTGCTCTTTTCCATAGGGCATAGTTATAAATCACATTTTGTATACAGACCTTGGATCTAAGAAAAAATGGGAAGGACTTCTCAGAAAAATTCAGAGTTGATAAAAATACGTAGAAACCAGGGGCGCCTGGGTGGCTCAGTCGGTTAAGCGTCTGCGTTCGGCTCAGGTCATAATCCCAGGGTGCTGGGATCAGCCCTACATCGGGCTCCCTGCTCAGCGGGAAGCCTGCTTCTCCCTCTCCCACTCCCCCTGCTTGTGTTCCCTCTCTCGCTGTGTCTCTTTCAGTCAAGTAAATAAATAAAAGTTTAAAAAAAAACACAAAAAAACAGAAACACATAGAAACCAGAGTTCTCTCAGAAATAACTTAGAGTGATACTTTCCCGTGTACTTTGGGTACACATTTTAAAATACTGCCCATCGGTGGGCTAAAGTTATAATGCGTGACCTAGTTTAAGAGCTAACATTTTGGGATCAGTGGTTATGTCTTTAAGCCTAGGATAAATTTCGGGGCCCCTCAGTTGGGCGTCTGACTCTTGATTGTGGCGCAGATCACGATCTCACGGTGGTGCGATGCAGCCCCACATGGAGCCAACTTTGGGCTCCGTGCTCAGCGGGGAATGGGCTTGGGCTTCTCCCTCTCCCTCTCCCTCTTCTTCTGCCCCTGCCCCGCTCACGCTCTCTCTTTCCCTCTCTCAAATAAATACATATCAAAAAATAAATAAAACAAGGATAATTTTCAAAGTAGCCTACCTTATTAAAGTTTACTTATTTTTTGCTTTTAAATTTTGTTTTCAGTTTTACTGAGCTGTAACTGATGTATACCATCTTATGAAACTTTATAAAGTATGAATGACAACTTAAGAAAACCATTTCTTAAATGAAGAAGTATCATAAAGTTGGGAAGCAGGGATTTTGGTGGGGTTGTGAGGGAAAACCCACACAGCAGGAGAGAAAACGTATCTGTCTGTCTAACTTCAGTCCCTTCTCACGCATTGCTTTGCCTCATGCTCGCTCTCTCTGGGTGAGCTTGGGGAAGACCTGTCATCTTATTAGGATATTCTGGAATCTCTTGCTAGTTTCCATATGACGTAGCAGAGGTGAAATAGTAGCCGAGTACTTTTCTAGATGAGCCACAATTGGCAGAGGAAGGCCAATGTGTTTGGAGGCATGGGGGCTCATATTGCCCAAGCCACCCAGGATGTGCCAGTGATGACTAGAGGAGCTGGCTGTTGTCGCCATTGTGTAGTGAGGAAACCATGGCTTTGCCCAAGGTTACGAGTCCCTCAGGGATTAGGCTGAGAGTTGAACCTTGACTGGTGAAGCTCCAAAGCCCAGGTTCTTTTCTATCGTATCACATGACTCTTCTCTCTCTCCTTTAGTCAGTCTAGTGTTTAGTCTCCTGGAGGGGGAAGAAGTGACTCGACTGCTCCGAGTTTCCCATTTAACGACACCCCTTCCCAGACCCCGCCAGAGTAGCTTAAAGAACTCTGCCACTCCACAGGGGCCTAATGAAAATGTGCACTTGACAAAGTTCCATCCGTCAGAGTTACTACTGCACATGTCCGGTTCAAAGTAGGGATTCTACCCCCTGGGGGACAAAAATGAGAGCTCTCATTACCTTTTTTATCAAGTTGTCTTCCAGTTCCAAGGTGCCGAAATCAGGTGGGTAAAGAACGCTTGGGGCTATACAAACGGATAAATTATAAGCTGTCATCTGATTGGATGACGAATGTTGCTCAATGTTGTATAGCACTCCAAAAAGGTATCGCAAGAGAACAACATTTGCTCTTGGCAGCTGGGCTAAAAGCCTAAGGTCAGAAAAACACACTTTTAAATTAGGCAAGTGATTCCACTTAGGAGGTTGGAAAAACAGAGACAGGGAACAGAATACATCCTTGTATATCTAGCACACAACCCGCTCTAGCAGAGTTCCAGGCATGAATGTAGACAAAATTGTTGCACTGAATTCAGTCCCTGAGCCAGATAAACACTTCTCTGGTTAGTTAAATGTTTGACAGACTTTTAAGGTCATAGCCCTGGCAGTTGATGCTCTTGCATGTGTCTTGAACCAGGGAATTTTGTCTATCAGTTTCAAGGATCCAGAAGGTGTCAAATGGCCAAGGAGTCCAGATTAATAAGATCAGGAGAAGAACAATAATAGCCCTAAAGTGTGCCTCTATTCTGAAGTTGGGCCCCATGGGTGTGAAGAATTGAAACTCTTTGGCGTTGGTCATGATTATAGTGGGCAAAGCTGCAAAACGTAAGCCAATGTTTTCCTAATAGTATGTTGGCTGTATTTTGGAGATGTGACCAGAGTAGAGTAATTATGGCATCATTACCTCTGGGCTGCAGTTATCTTCTCCTCTTTGTTGCCTTGATCAATAACACCGAGCCATTTGTCATAGAGGTCAGATAAAAATATACTTCCGTGGATATTTCTAAGAAAATCCTTAGGGAGATAAAAAAAAAATATATATATATATATATATACATAAATATAAACTATAGAAACTATGTATTGGAAATATTCCAGAGAAAATATGTAGTTAAAAAATTCAGTTCAGCCCCCACTTCCTTCACAGATACCCAAACTGGGACCCACACGGAGCTCGGCTCTGACTTTCCATTGACTTGCACACGCAGGAGCAGGTGCTTGGATTTTCTCCCGCTAAAACTTAGAGGCATAAAAGCAGAGCTTAGCCTGTGGTGGAAATGAAGATAAAGCTCCCTTCTATCATCTGGAACTTATTTTGTGTGAGTGGTTTTTTTTTTGTAAAGTACCACAAACTGACAGGGTCTGGCTATAGACCATCCTAAATCCTATTAGCTTCCTGGACAGAAATACACATACCCATGTTGCTTGTTTTAGACAAGGTGCTAGCTCTTAACTCTAGCAAGAAAAGGCCTGAAACAATCAAAACACAAACAGGTGGGCTCTTGCACACATATTAGGAAAGAACTAGGTCTTCTCACTCGGGGTATGTGTGCTCCCTGGAAGAAAGCTACTCGCACAATTGCTTCATTCTTCCTTTTCTTAACTGTCTAAAAGTCGAGAGTCTAATGGCAGACTCACTGTGGTCCTGAGGATAGATTCATTTCTAGTTTAGGCCAATTGTCCAGTTAGTTTGCCATGATATTATCAAGGCCAAGGTCGCAGAGTCTGATTCTCCACCAAGATCCGTCAACTTCAGGAAGAGAAAACTTTAGAAATGTCTAAGCACTCTCCCCACAAGTGCTCACCCTCTTCCTAGTCGGTGCTTATAACACGGAATCAGGAAAGAACCTCCTAACTCTTGCTAGAAAATCGATTCCATGTGTGCACCTTACAGAGGGCAACACTCATCTTGCTACCTAGTGTATCATCATTCTTCTCCTGTCTCCTGATGCCTGTATGTATATTACTACTGGATATCACTATGACCCCAGTGTAGGAGTGGTTACCTAAGACATTTCTGGACCTTGCTATTGATCCCATCTTCGAACATTAACGGGGGACAAGGGAAGACCAAATGTGACTGAGATTCTACGACTGTAGTCATTACTACGTTAACATAGGGTTGTTCAGAGCTGTTCATAAGTGCCAAGGTGGATGGATTAAATTCTTTCCCTGTTCTATTTCTTTGGGAAAGTTTGCCTTCATTAGGAGGGGGGTGAGGATGTTTTCATGGGTAAACTGTGTGTATGTATCGGTGCGTATTTCGAAATTTATTATCATGACTAGTAGTCATTTCAGTATTAGTATTTTGCATGGAGTCTTTAGGAGTGAAGGTGGGGAGGGCGGTGTGTAGTGAAAAGAGAAAGTATTTCTAACACATGGGGCTTTTAACTCCTAAAGTCGCTTCCTTAAATTTTGCTTTTGTTAAGCGTTTTTCAGCTTGTCAGGTTCTTAATCTATTATGCCCATTATTGTTCTTGAGCAGTCTTGATGAAGGACACCAGTCATAGCTTCAGTTACTCGTGTGTAGATACTGCTAGAACCTTCCCTACCTTTAAGACGGATGCGACCACATGAACAGATTCGCTGTATGGGTTCACTTTGACCCCAGAATTCAGTTTTTCCTTTAGGACATGGCAGGATTTTATATTGGCTGAGTTTCTGAATATGCCTTCTGTGAGGGGCCCTTTTTCATTAATAAAGGAAAGCATACCCTGTAGGAAGAAAAGCAAAGTATATGGCATCTCATATCCACAAACGCAGAGCACAAGCTTGCCTCCGTTTTGAAAGAGGAGGGGAATGTACTGGTACACTGTTTTAGAGCGGGAAGGACCAAAGTCGATTTAGATTGTTTTTTTTTCAGTGTCTCTCTATATACTTTCTACCCAAATATCCATTTTACAGTCATACACTGAAACAATTTAAACAGTTCTTTTAATCAGATTTTCCTTTCCATTGAGTTTCCACTCTTAAATCAAACTTCTATGCTTCAAGGCCTTTGCGGAATCACCATCTGTTTCCTACTTTACCATTCTTTTCTCATTATTCCCTTATGTAGATGCTCTTCCCCAAATATGGAAGTCTATTTAGCGAATACTCATTTCCCATTTGTTTATTTTTCTTTAAGTGACTCTATACTCCTTTCCTACTTGTTCTATTTCCTTCCCTCTTTTAAAGTCAGGCCCAGAAAGTCTCTTCTCTTTCTCTGATTACCCTCCCTTCTCATGAGTCTTAAATTCTCTTTTGCTCTATCTTCACGTCCTCTCTCTGCTGTGTAGAATCTTAATAAGGGCTGGACTCAGGGAATAAAATGGATCTGAAGTCTATTATGCTACTTATCTATTGTGTGAGCTCGGGCACATACATCCTGTACTGAGGCTTTTCTGAATCGGTTAGGAAGTGTGGAGGATGATAATCCTAGCTAGCTCCTAAATTTGCTGTGATGCATGGACCTGGGGTAGTAGCTAGCAGGTAACAAAGTACCTAATATGATACATTTCTTCATAGCTAGGAGAACGTTCCCTACATCCCGTACAGTGCTTGCAGAGACACCGAATACTCAGTGAAGGTCCACACTGACAATTCACTACAGCAGTTTGAGATAAAACAGGCCAAACTCTGTGGCTTTCATTTGATATATTCTGTTAGGATTAACAGATTCCTATTTGCCAGAGGATGAGTCCATGCTCATGTCAGATGTTTGCAGTTGTTAGACTGAGTAGACTCCACTGAAGGAGACTTGAGACTCATGTGAGTGCAGGAAGGCAATGAAGGGAGAGTGTGAAGATGAGGTGGACTCTCAGAGACTCACATACACAGAGTCCTTTTTGACTGATCTGAACAGGCTTCGGTGGGTCTTTGTGGAAACAAGACCCATGTGGAATGGATAAGAAAGTCTTTTCCTGTTGTATTAGCCTCACGACTCTGCTGGACCTAAGTCAGATTCTGTTCCTTGAAATAACAGTAACAGAGCTTCTCAGCCAAAGCCAAGGGCTGTCTAATGACTTCTCCATTTGGGGATAGATTTGGATGAGGACACGTGGCCTCTCAGAGTTTCCCCTCCTCAGGAGGGCTGTAGAAGACCAAAAGGAGATGACCTACCAGAATTGGGAAGGGCAAGTTGTCTTTATCACACACATCCATGAGGGAAACTCCAAAGAGCTGTCCTGGCTTTGCGGAAGGTGGGGCTGTGCACTGGGTGTGCTGGGAAGTGCCGGAGCCCCACCAAAAGGCCCTGTCTCTGAAAAAATGGCTTTTCACAGTCTTCCGACCGGAGTCTAAGGAAGAAGAGAGAGTACTAGTAGTAGTAGTTGTTGTTTAATACGCTGAACCTTCTTTTTCCTTTTTTTTTTTTTTTACACATTTTATTTATATTTTGACAGAGGGAGAGAGACAACGAGAGAGGGAACACAAACAGGGGGAGGGGCAGAGGGAGAAGCAGGCTTCCCTCGGAGCAGGGAGGCCGATGCGGGGCTCGATCCCAGGACCCCGGGATCATGACCTGAGCTGAAGGCAGACGCTTAATGACTGAGCCACCCAGGCGCCCCAGACTCATCTTAATTCCTGATGACTTGTATTTTCCTAAAGATTTCCTCAAAGCAATGTGGTAAGCATCATAAAACCAAGAAATGTCAGAAATATGGAGGGATTGATGATACGTGTCTCCAGGTTCTGAATCGAAAGTCTACCTTCTAAGGTGGACTGCTGCCAGGTAGCTGTGATTAGCTAGGCTCAAATCGTACTAGCTCTACTCTCAGGGGCACTTCTCCTAGTCCTATTAATGGCTTTTTGTGGATTCCATCCATCATCTTATTTAGTGTTTACCACAATTCTAAGATTTAGACATTATTTTATCTACATTTTAGAGATCAATAAACTGATGCTGAGCTAGAAAAACTGATCAAAGGTAACATAGCTGGTAAATGGGGGCACAGGACTTTACACTCTGGAGAGGTTTTTTGACATCAAGTCAGCCTTCGGAAGAAGGAGCCCATGGAAATCCTTGCCCTGGCGATGCTCTGGGCTCCAGAACAGCTCTGTCTAAGCATCTCCCATGACCCCTGGTAACCTTGCTATCTGCTTCTCACTAAAGCCAATTAAATTACTCCCGGTACCTGCAGCCTTCTCGCTGTTACCACGACTCATTGAGTTCTCGCCCAAGAGGGAAGTGATGTCTTCTCCAAATATCCTGAGGCAATTTTCAATGAGAAATTGTACAAGACATATCTGTAACACAAAAAGACAAGAATGGGGTGCTCTTTTCCATAGGGCATAGTTATAAATCACATTTTCTATACAGACCTTGGATCTAAGAAAAAATGGGAAGGACTTCTCAGAAAAATTCAGAGTTGATAAAAATATGTAGAAACCAGGGGCGCCTGGGTGGCTCAGTTGGTTAAGCGTCTGCGTTCGGCTCAGGTCATAATCCCAGGGTGCTGGGATCAGCCCTACATCAGGCTCCCTGCTCAGCGTGAAGCCTGCTTCTCCGTCTCCCACTCCCCCTGCTTGTGTTCCGTCTCTCACTGTGTCTCTCTCAGTCAAGTAAATAAATAAAAGTTTAAAGAAAAAACAAAAAAACCCAAAAACACATAGAAACCAGAGTTCTTTCTGAAATAACTTAGAAAGAGTGATACTTTCCCGTGTACTTTGGATACACATTTTAAAATACTGCTCATCAGTGGGCTAAAGTTATAATGCGTGGCCTAGTTTAAGAGCTAACATTTTGGGATCAGTGGTTACATCTTTAAGCCTAGGATAAATTTCTGGGCCCCTCAGTTGGGCGTCTGACTCTTGATTTCGGCGCAGATCACGATGTCATGGTGGTGAGATCCAGCCGCACATGGAGCTAACTTTGGGCTCCGTGTTCAGCGGGGAATCGGCTTGGGCTTCTCCCACTCCCTCTTCCTCTGCCCCTGCCCCACTCATGGTCTCTCTTTCCATCTCTTAAATAAATACATATCAAAAAATAAATAAAACTAGGATAATTTTCAAAGTAGCCTACCTTATTAAAGTTTACTTATTTTTTGTTTTTAAATTTTGTTTCCAGTTTTATTGAGCTGTAACTGATGTATAACATCTTATGAAACTTAATGAAGTATGAACAAAAACTTAAAACCATTTCTTAAATGAAGAAGTATCTTAAAGTTGGGAAGCAGGGATTTTGGTGCGGTTGTGAGGGAAAACCCACACAGCTGGAGAGAAAATGTATCTGTCTGTCTAACTTCAGTCCATTCTCACGCATTGCTTTGCCTCATACTGTCTCTCTTGGTGAGCTTGGGGAAGACCTGTCATCTTATTAGGATATTCTGGAATCTCTTCCTAGTTTACGTATGATGTAGCAGAGGTGAAATAGTAGCCGAGTACTTTTCTAGATGAGCCACAATTGGCAGAGGAAGGCCAATGTGTTTGGAGGCATGGGGGCTCATATTGCCCAAACCACCCAGGATGTGCCAGTGATGACCGGAGGAGCTGGCTGTTGTCGCCATTGTGCAGTGAGGAAACCATGGCTTTGCCCAAGGTTACGAGTCCCTCAGGGATTAGGCTGAGAGTTGAACCTTGACTGGTGAAGCTCCAAAGCCCAGGTTCTTTTCTATCGTATCACACGACTCTTCTATCTCTTTTTTAGTCAGTCTAGGTTTAGTCTCCTGGAGAGGGAAGAAGTGACTCGACCACTCTGAGTTTCCCGTTTAACGACACCCCTTTCCAGACCCCGCCAGAGTAGCATAAAGAACTCTGCCATTCCACAGGGGCCTAATGAAAATGTGCAGTTCACAAAGTTCCATCCGTCAGAGTTACTACTGCACATGTCCGGTTCAAAGAAGGGATTCTACCCCCTGGGGGACAAGAATGAGACCTCTCATTACCTTTTTTATCATGTTGTCTTCCAATTCCAAGCTTTCGGAATCAGGTGGGTAAAGAACGCATGGGGCTATACAAACGGATAAATTATAAGCTTTCATCTGATTGGATGACGAATGTTGCTCAATGTTGTATAGCACTCCAAAAAGGTATCGCAAGAGAACAACATTTGCTCTTGGCAGCTGGGCTAAAAGCCTAAGGTCAGAAAAACACACTTTTAAATTAGGCAAGTGATTCCACTTAGGAGGTTGGAAAAACAGAGACAGGGAACAGGATACATCCTTGTATATCTAGCACACAACCCGCTCTAGCAGCGTTCCAGGCATGGATGTATACAAAATTGTTGCACTGAATTCAGTTCCTGAGCCAGATACACACTTGCCTGGTTGGTTAAATGTCTGACAGACTTTTAAGGTCATAGCCCTGGCAGTTGTTGCTCTTGATCTGTCTTGGACCAGGGAATTTTGTCTACCAGTTTCATGGATCCAGAAGGTGTAAAACGGCCAAGGAGTCCACATTAATAAGATCAGGAGAAGAACAATAATAGCCCTAAAGTGTGCCTCTATTCTGAGCTGGCCCCCATGGGCGTGAAGAATTGAAACTCTTTGGCGTTGGTCATGATTATAGAGGGCAAAGCTGCAAAATGTAAGCCAATGTTTTCCTCATAGTATGTTGGGTATTATTTGGAGATGTGAACAGAGTAGAGTAATTATGCATCGTTACCTCCGGGCTGCCGTTATCATCTCCTCTTTGTTGCCTTGATCAATAACACCGAGCCATTTGTCATAGAGATCAGATAAAAATATACTTCCTTGGATATTTCTCAGAAAGTCCTTAGGGAGATAAAAAAAAATATGTGTATATATTATAGAAAATATGTATTGGAAATATTCTAGAGAAAATATGTAGTTAAAAAATTCAGTCCAGCCCCCACCTCCTTCACAGATACCCAAAGTGGGACCCACACGGAGCTCGGCTCTGACTCTCCATTGACTTGCACACGCAGGAGCAGGTGCTTGGATTTTCTCCCGCTAAAACTTAGAGGCATAAAAGCAGAGCTTAGCCTGTGGTGGAAATGAAGATAAAGCTCCCTTGTATCATCTGGAACTTATTTTGTATGTGTGCTTTTTTTGCAAAGTACCACAAACTGACAGCGTCTGGCTATAGACCATCCTAAATCCTATTAGCTTCTTGGACAGAAATACACATACCCATGTTGCTTGTTTTAGGCACAGTGCTAGCTCTTAATTCTAGCAAGAAAAGGCCTGAAACAATCAAAACACAAACAGGTGGGCTCTGGCACACATATTAGGAAAGAACTAGGTCTTCTCACTCGGGGTATACGTGCTCCCTGGAAGAGAGCTATTCTCACAATTGCTTCATTCTTCCTTTTCTTAACTGTCTAAAAGTCGAGAGTCCAATGGCAGACTCACTGTGGTCCTGAGGATAGATTCATTTCTAGTTTAGGACAATTGTCCAGTTAGTTTGCCATGATAGTATCAAGGCCAAGGTTGCAGAGTCTGATTCTCCACCAAGATCCGTCAACTTCAAGAAGAGAAAAGTTTAGAAATGTCTAAGCAGTCTCCCCACAAGTGCTCACCCTCTTCCTAGTCGGTGCTTATAACACGGAATCAGGAAAGAACCTCCTAACTCTTGCTAGAAAATGGATTCCATGTGTACACCTCACAGAGGGCAACACTCATCTTGCTACCTAGTGTATCATCATTCCTCTCCTGTCTCCTGATGCCTATATGTATATTACTACTGGATATCACTATGACCGCAGTGTAGGAGTGGTTACCTAAGTCATTTCTGGACTTTGCTATTGATCCCATCTTCGAACATTAACGGGGGACAAGGGAAGACCAAATGTGACTGAGATTCTACGACTGTAGTCATTACTACGTTAACATAGGGTTGTTCAGAGCTGTACATAAGTGCCAAGGTGGATGGATTAAATTCTTTCCCTGTTCTATTTCTTTTGGAAAGTTTGCCTTCATTAGGAGGGCGGTGAGGATGTTTGCATGGGTAAACTTTGTGTATGTATCGGTGCGTATTTTGAAATTTATTATCATGACTAGTAGTCATTTCAGTATTAGTATTTTGCATGGAGTCTTTAGGAGTGAAAGTGGGGAGGGCGGTGTGTAGTGAAAACAAAGGATTTCTAATACATGGGGCTTTTAACTCCTAAAGTAGCTTCCTTAAATTTTGATTTTCTCAAGGGTTTTTTAGCTTGTCAGGTTCTTAATCTATTATGCCCTTTATAGTTCTTGAGGAGTCTTGTTGAAGGACTAAAGTGTGCCTCATAGCTTCAGTTACTCGTGTGTGGATAATGGTAGAACCTTCCCTACCTTTAAGACGGATGCGACCACATGAACAGATTCGCTGTACGGGTTCACTTTGACCCCAGAATTTAGTTTCTCCTTTAGGACCATGCAGGATTTTATATTGGCTGATTTGCTGAATATGCCTTCTGTGAGGGGCCCTTTTTGATTAATAAAGGAAAGCATATCCTGTAGGAAGAAAAGAAAAGTATATGGCATCTCATATCCACAAACGCAGAGCACAAGCTTGCCTGCATTTTGAAAGAGCACGGGAATATAATGGTACACTGTTTTAGAGTGGGAAGGAGTAAAGTCAATTTAGATTGGTTTCTTTTTTTCAGTGTCTTTCTATATAGTTTTGACCCAAATATCCATTTTACAATCATACAGTGAAACAGTTTAAAAACTTCTTTTAATCAGATTTTCCTGTCCACTGAGTTTCCACTTTTAAATCAAACTTCTCCGCTTCAAGGCCTTTGGGGAATCACCGTCTGTTTCCTAATTTAGCATTTCTTTCTCATTATTCCCTACATAGATGCTCTTCCCCAAGTATGGAAGTCTATTTAGGGAATACTCATTTCCCATTTGTTTATTTCTCTTTAAGTGACTGTATACTCCATTCCTACTTGTTCTATTTCCTTCCCTGTTTTAAAGTCAGGCTCAGAAACTCTCTTCTCCTTCTCTGATTACCCTCCCTTCTCATGAGTCTTTCATTGTCTTTTGCTGTAACTTCATATCCTTTCCCTGCTGTGTAGAAACTTAATAAGGGCTGGACTCAGGGAATCCAATGGATCTGAAGTCTATTATGCTACTTATCTATTGTGTGAGCTGGGGCACATGCATCCTGTACTGAGGCTTTTCTGATTCCTTTAGGCAGTGCGGAGGATGATAATCCTAGCTAGCCCCTAAATTTCCTGTGATGCAAGGACCTGGGGTAGTAGGTAGCAGGTAACATGCTAGCTAAAATGATACATTTCTTCATAGCTAGCAGAACGTTCCCTACATCCCGCACAGTGCTTGCAGAGACACCGAATACTCAGTGAATGTCCACACTGACAATTCACTACAGCAGTTTGAGATAACACAGGCCAAACTCTGTGGCTTCCATTTGACATACTCTGTTAGGATTAACAGATTCCTATTTGCCAGAGGATGAGTCTATGCTTGTGTCAGATGTTTGCAGTTGTTAGACTGAGTAGACTCCGCTGAAGGAGACTTGAGACTCATGTGAGTGCAGGAAGGCAATGAAGGGAGAGTGTGAAGATGAGGTGGACTCTCAGAGACTCACATACACAGAGTCCATTTTGACTGATCTGAATAAGCCTCGGTGGGTCTTTGTAAAAACAAGACCCAGGTGGAATGGACAAGAATGTCTTTTCCTGTTGTATTTGCCTCATGACTCTGCTGGAACTAAGTCAGATTCTGTTCCTTGAAATAACAGTAACAGAGCTTCTCAGCCAAAACCAGGGGCTGTCTAATGACTACTCCATTTGAGGATAGATTTGGATGAGGACACGTGGCCTCTCAGAGTGTCCCCTCCTCAGGAGGGCTACAGAAGACCAAAGGAGATGACCTACCAGAATTGGGTAGGGAAGGTTGTCTTTATAACACATATCCATGAGCGAAACTCCAAAGAGCTGTACTGGCTTTGCGGAAGGTGGGGCTGTGCACTGGGTGTGCCTACAAGTGCTGCAACCCCGACAAAAGGCCCTGGCTCTGAAAGAACGGCTTGTCACAGTCATAGGGCCGGAGTCTAAGGAAGAAGAGAGAGTATTAGTAGTAGTTGTTGTTTAATACGCTGAGCCTTCATTTCCCTTTTTTTTTTTTTTTTACAGATTTTATTTATATTTTGACAGAGGGAGAGAGACAGCGAGAGAGGGAACACAAGCAGGGGGAGGGGCAGAGGGAGAAGCAGGCTTCCCTCGGAGCTGGGAGCCCGTTGCGGGGCTCGATCCCAGGACCCCGGGATCATGACCTGAGCTGAAGGCAGACGCTTAATGACTGAGCCACCCAGGCGCCCCAGACTCATCTTAATTCCTGATGACTTGTATTGTCCTAAAGATTTCCTCAAAGCAATGTGGTAAGCATCATAAAACCAAGAAATGTCAGAAATATGGAGGGATTGATGATACGTGTCTCCAGGTTCTGAATCGAAAGTCTACCTTCTAAGGTGGACTGCTGCCAGGTAGCTGTGATTAGCTGGGCTCAAATCGTACTAGCTCTACTCTCAGGGGCACTTCTCCTAGTCCTATTAATGGCTTTTTGTGGATTCCATCCATCATCTTATTTAGTGTTTACCACAATTCTAAGATTTAGACATTATTTTTATCCACATTTTACAGATGTATAAACTGATGCTGAGCTGGAATAACTGGCAAAAGATAATATAGCTGGTAAATGGGGCACAGGACTTTACACTCTGGAGAGGTTTTTTGACATCAAGTCAAGTCCTTTTTTCTCAATGATGCCAGTTCTTTTCAACCCGCTTCAAAGGGCACTGGAATCCTGTGGTGCCTCAAGAGCCCCTGAGCCAAAGGAGGAAGGAGTGGAAGAAAGGCCCCTTGCTCTGGCTTCAACCAGAGCACATCTTATATACATAAATATATATATATATTGATTACATATTTATATAGTATAAGTATCTAATTATATATATATAACTATATATATATGTATGATGTTATACGCATTTAGAATTTTGTTAGAAAAAATTCCCAAACACTGTAGCATACCATGATGAGTCCTAATGCCCTTATGATCTACACTAGAAACTTCTTGAAGTCAGACACCTCATCTTATCCTTTCTTTGGTCTCACAACAGTGTGGAACCTCCCTTGACCTGTGAGCCAGCCTTCGGAAGAAGGAGCCCATGGAAATCCTTGCCCTGGCGATGCTCTGGGCTC